TCTGTAGTTCAACTGTTTGTCAAGGTTGCCTCAGTTTTTGATATATGAATTAGCCTGAATTTAAAAGTGTGATTTTTACTTTTAAAATAAAATAATAAAATCGCATGAACCTTATTTTTCAGGTCATTAGTAATTTTAATGTGTCTGGCTTCCGTCATTCGCTTCAGTTATTATTTTTACATGTACAAAAGAGTCTGCTATGCCGCTTGATATTGCAAACTGGTATTTCTTATCGTATTATTTTAATATTGTCTTAATAATAAACACGCTGCTTTGTAGCGCAAACAGTTTTACAGTTTACTGCAATTTTATATTTTTTCTCGTTATTTCCCAATAGCGGCTAATAAATAGGAAGTCTCACACGTTCACAAAAAACACCTTACTTCTGTGTTGAAAAATATGGTGGATGACACTTTCACATTGATTTTTTTAATGAATTTATAATATTCTAATATTTTTTTAAATCCTAAAAATAAAAAATAAAAATAAACGTTAACTGAAATAAAACATAAAAACTATAAATTTCTCATCTTAATTTAGTTTAACTTGATGTGCTAAAATAACCTAAACTGAAATATAAATTAGCAAAAATTAGATTGACATATTGAAGAAAAAAATAAAATATATACTAAAAATGACAAAAACACAAAATCACTAAAACGTTAAAATTAAAATCTTCAGTCTAAAAAATAAAAACGGAAATATGAATAAAAACTATAATAGTATCTCAATGACACTAGAATAACACTGTTTTGAATATTGTTGTGGACAACTAAAAAGTAACATTTCAATTCATGTTTGAAAAGTTGGAAATGCTTCACTGTTTTCTAACCCAACGAGATGTGATAAGATTCCAGCGAAAAGCAATTTGTCTTTCCACACCAGATGCGATGCGACAAAACCAGTCAAAAATCAGCCAATCAGAAGAGTGTGTGGGTGGAGTCTCAAAGAAATGATTAACTGAGCACACACACAATTATTTTCATACTCACATTAGATGCTTTTAACATTAAACAAAGCACATAAACAGCACCTGAGATTGTCAGTGTCATTCTTTGCATGTAATAGAAATAAAAAAAATTAGAATCGTTGTGTATATCGCCATTGCAGCCGGTTATGACTGTAAATGTTGGCTTTTATCACGTGGCAGCATCGCTTCACGTCTGGTTAAGACACAGTGTTAGATAAGCAGATGTTGTCTACAGTGTCTTTACCTGTATTCCTCTCAGTGAAGATGCACCCATGTAAAGGAAAACTCCATACAGCACCGGCATTGGAATGAACTATGGAGACATATAAAAAAAAATGTTTGTTACTATTAGTTTATAATCTCAGTGCAGATTTTTGTGCAAAAAACAATCAGATGCTCTCTAGAATCTGAAGCTCCGCCCTCTACATTATTGTGATGAAATGAAATTGGTCACTTGATCACACATTTACTATTTTCTACATGGTGAATGGCACATAGTGCACTATATAGGGGATAGGAACGATTCAGACCGTGCTTTCCATTGGGGCGAATGAAGTCTGGTTGGTTAGTGTCACGTGAATCACAACACGACAGCACAGAGAGGATCATGTGATCGAGTCGCCGCAGACCAGAAATCGTATCGGACCCGTTTGAATTCTGCACAGAATGTTATATTTTAAAGTGATATGGAGGAGATTTGGAGGAGAAACGGTTAGAGATTAGGAGGAAACTGCGGCTTTACTGAGCTCAACGGCTCTGGCCGAGCTGTGAAACTAAACGCTATTGGCTATTTAAAAAAGGGGGCGGAGCTGATCAATATATCCTGCCCTGCCTTCCCGTTTCAGAGGAAATTACATTGAATCAGGGCACTTCAGCGGGCCTTTAAGATCCGTTTTGGTCGATCGGATCACAAGTAGACGAGGGAGTCACATACACCTGGTGTTTTAATCCATCTCTTTTGTCCTGATTTCTTTGAGCGCGGGTCATGGGCGGGTAAATGTATGTTTTCTTCTCCAGACCTTTCAATCTAATGAACAAACTAAGCTCGCGTAATTTACATATGAACATGACTGGAGACACAGAGAGCAGCAGCTTTAGTTTCTTCTCTGACAGCCGCAAGATCACGAACACGGTGAGTGTGTGTTAGAAATCAGGAATGGTGAGAGAACATTGTGCTTGGTGCGTTTTTCCTCTTCAAAACAAACTTCACAAAATAAATCTCGTCTGACTGCCGTCTTTTGTTAGCCTGGGTTTCCCCATACTAGCTTGCCGCAGCGCGATTTTATTCACGCTGCTAGGCAGTCTGGATACCATGGACCAATTTTTGCCTCATTTAGGGAACCAATCACAGAACGGGGAGAGCAGCAAGACGATGACGACGTTTTATGCGACACACCGAAGCAGTTTGTTTATACCTATGGATCAAACATGGCAGCAGACGCGAAGCCTTACGGCCGTTTTAAGTCTTTTTGTGTTTTTTCTTGTTTTCCAAAGACATTGAAATATGACTTTGGCAATTATGCTATGAGGCTAACGATATATAAGCGAGCAATTCTTTACAAAGACAACTATACATTTGTTTTTAGAAGTTGGTCATTTTATAACATTGATAGTCTTGAAAGTTTGTAATGGGGAGGTGTACAACATTCGCATATAAGTTAAAGGAACACTCCGACTTTTTGGGACTTTAGCCTATTCACCTTATCCCCCAGAGTTAGATAAGTTCATACATACCTTTTTCATCTCCGTGCGTGCTATAAGTCTGTTTGACGCACCCACCGCTAGCCTAGCTTAGCACAAAGACTGGATGTAAATGGTTGCAGCTAGCATACTAATCCAAATAAGTGACAAAATAGCGCAAACATTTTCCTATTTACATGTTGTGATTTGTATAGTCACAGAGTGTACAAAAAACAAAGTCACATGAGACAGACATATTTTAACCGTATAAATACTGGGAACTATATTCTCTGAAGGCGAAGCACTGTTACTTGGGCGGAGTGATAACCGCAGCACCTGAGACGCGCCGTGGTGAGGAGCAGAGAGCGCGTCTCAGGTGCTGCGGTTATCACTCCGTATTTATACGGTTAAAATATGTCTGTGTCTCATGTGACTTTGTTTTTTGTACACTCTGTGACTATACAAATCACAACATGTAAATAGAAAAATGTTTGCGTTATTTTGTCACTTATTTGGATTAGTATGCTAGCTGCAACCATTTACATCCAGTCTTTGTGCTAAGCTAGGCTAGCAGTGGGTGCGTCAAACAGACGTATAGCACGCACGGAGATGAAAAAGGTATGTATGGACTTATCTACCTCTGGGGGATAAGGTGAATAGGCTAAAGTCCCAAAAAGTCGGAGTGTTCCTTTAAATGTTAAACTACAAAACAACCCAGAAAATGGCTCAAATCTATTAGTTTCACTCATGTTTACAAGACTGCAACTCCGCGGATAAAAAACAAAACACACAAATAAACCACACACTCGGGTTTAATTTGGGTTGTGCTAGCCTGTAGCTGTCTGTGTGTTACATAAACTAAAAGAACGTTTATATATAATATTTTCTGGCTAGTTTACTTTAGTTTTTTTTTTTTATATATATATAATACACAACTTTCACCCAAACTGAATAATTAAAAACAAGTTTTTACCGGGTAGCCTAAATCTTAGGAGTCTTTATTTTCTTTTATTTGCCTACTCAAGTTCTTGTTAAAACTCACTAGACATGCTTATTCTGTCCTTTTTGGGCACTTTTTGTGTGAAATCATATTTATTTTTGTCCATCAAAAGTGTGCTTTCACTTTAATTGAGCGTGGAGAAGTGCAGCAAACACAGATTCGACGCCGAAACCCCCGCTTCACCACTGCTCACGCGACGCTCCTGCTCCTGGTGTGAATGCACTCATTGATTAACATGCACGCCGGAAAAAATACGCGCCGCTGTGTGGTGTGAAACGGCCGTTAGATACACGCCATCGTGTACACATAAATCTCTGACCCATCGTTGTCTTCCTCGTCTAATTTCTGTCGCTCTACATACGTCATCTGGTATAATTGAAAGGATTGGCTATGAGCTACGTACAGGCGCATTTCATAGACATTCGTAGCACCCAATAAACGGCTCAGGGCATTCGTAAACCACGCCTCAAATACGAGAAAATGAACATGTGGTTCCCAGACCACGTCTCAATGAGACTTGGGTCTGACGTTAGCCAGGCTAGTCTTTTGTGGCTGTTTGAGCACATTCGACCACATGAGCGTTTTCAACTACCTCTGGAAGTGGTGCGAAGTGGACAAGCTCACAACGTTTTAGACGCCGTTTACACCTGTTTTAGCGTCGTCCACTTGTGATCCGATCGACCGAAACGCATCTTAATGCCAGCTGTAAAGCACAGCTCACACTGAAGTCACTTTCAAACCAAGCTTGGTCAGCAACTGTGTGTCATTCGCAACTTAAACACGAGCGAAATCTGTGCGGGGAACTTTTACACCCTCATGTGAAACTCCCGATCACACAGATTCTTATCGGAGTGACTAGATTTCACAGAGCAACAGTAAATTACAGTACTAGTGTTGTCAAAAGTACCAACTTCGGTACCAAAAGTCGGTACTGAAATTTTTTAAATGTTACGCTTTGAGCGCTGTTGAGCGGATTCATAAACACGTCTGATTGGCCATTGTGTTCACGCACTCATCGGATATGTCTGTGATTGGCTACAATGATCAACTTTTGTTTCGTTTGAGAGCGCACGGAAGTGTTTGAAAGTATTTGAAAGGACCGGTCCACTGATAGACGCCTGCTTACAAACGCTCCCGTGTGTTTCTGTGTAAGCACTCGGTGAAGAGCGTCATTGATGTATATTACAACATGTTTATGAAGCGCTGATCATTGTAGCCAATCACAGACATATTTGAAGAGCGCATGAGAACAATGGCCAATCAGAGGTGTATGATTCTGCTCAAAGCGTCACATTTTTTAACTTTCAGTATCGACTTGGTACCGAAGTCGGTACTTATGACAACACTAGACAGTACCCATAAATGTAAATGTAAGTATGTTGATGACTGAGCTCAGACCTTCAGCACTGAGGTCATGAACACAGAGCAGCCCATGAGGAGGAAGATCATGAGGCCGGTGACACGCTGCTCTCTGATCCCGAGGAACTTGGGCTGCTCTCCGGGAGCCGAACACTCGGACTCCAGCTTCAGGCTGTTCACATGAGTGATGGACAGAACCGTCGCCGCCACGAACCACGGCAGACCCATCAGAGAGCAAACGCCCAGCATCACACCCACCATGAACAGGTCCAGGTGATAGCCACAGCCTTTCTGTGGGCACAAGGCGGAACACAGAGGGTTAACTCAGTCGCAGACTTACTAGCGGTTTATTGCACTCTCCATTTTGTATGTATTAGCGTGTGTGTGTGTGTGAGAGAGAGAGAGAGAAAGAGAGAGAGAGAGAGACAGAGAGAGAGAGAGAGAGAGAGAGAGAGAGAGAGAGAGAGAGAGAGGAGAGAGAGAGAGAGAGAGAGAGAGAGAAAGTGTGTGTGTGAGAGAGAGAGTGAGCGTGTGAGAGAGAGAGAGTGTGTGTGTGTGTGTGTGTGTGTGTGTGTGAGAGGGAGAGAGAGAGAGTGAGAGGGAGAGGGAGAGAGAGAGAGAGAGAGAGAGAGAGAGTGTGTGTGTGTGTGTGTGTGTGTATGTGTGTGTGTGTGTGTGTGTTTGTGAGAGTGTGTGTGTGTGTGTGTGTGTGTGTGTGTGTGTGTGTGTGTGTGTGTGTGTGTGTGTGTGAGTGAGTGTGTGAGAGAGAGAGAGAGAGAGAGAGAGAGAGAGAGAGAGAGAGAGAGAGAGAGAGAGAGAGAGAGAGAGAGAGTGTGTGAGCACCTTGAGCTTGTGCTCCTTCCTGTTGATGATCACAGCTGTGATCTGCTGGTCCATGAAGATGAGGATTGTGCAGAGGAGAGCGGGGAGGATGGTGATCACACACGTCCACCACGGGTTCGGTCCCAGCGGGTTAATGAACCACCCACGGTCGTCACGAGTTGGCTGGAAACATGTTGCAAGACTAAATTAAATTGGAAACATCTATTCTTATCAAGTCTATTAATATATGCTATGTTACATTTAACATAAAGCTAACATAATAAACTTTGAACATTGTGTGTATGTGACATATTTTTCAAATGACATTTTTTAGCACATCATTGTTCTTTTACAGCCCACATATCTCCTTGTGTAAATTAAATAAAAATTAAAAATACATATAATTAAACAAAACAATTAATGTAATTTATTTAAAATTAAATTTAATAAAAAAACAAGATAATTAAACTTACAACTTGTAAAACCATTTTAAATTTTAGACTAATCTTTCTCAAGCCAACATCAAAGATAAACATCTTAGATCAGAACCAACATACTGTAGAAATTGGACAGTTTTCTTCTAGAAAGACAAGGTGTTGTTCAGGTGGAGGAAGACTGCAGGTTGCAGTCGAAACATGTCAAGGTAAATAAAAAGTTTATAATGCAAAAAAATGTTTGCATTATATGCGGTTAGAACAGCTGTCAGCAGCGCGTCCTCATCCATATCAAGCGCCTCGTCCCCTGAGGTGGCGGCAGCGCGGGCGGGAGCCCGGCGGCTGCGAGTCCGGGAGAGGGGGCGGAGAAGGAGAGATAGACGCTCGAGGGAGTCATTCCGGCGAGCATTTGCATCAGAAAACGACGGCAGTGCAGCCCGCAGGGTCGACATCGGAAGTGCGTCGCTGAGCTCACAAACCCCTGAGGGCAAGAGCTGCGTGTTACTGGCCCAGGCAGAGAGCGCAGATCACATGGCGGTCTCCGTCGCTGTGCGGGGCTCTGCACGCGCCGCAGGAAGTGCAAGGCATCTTGAAAAAGACGCTCGCTACTCTTTTAGACAGTAAGTTTTGCAAGAAAGGATCCGTCGCCGGATAGCGTAGCTCGCACGGATGGCTGAAGGTGGCGAAGACGGCCGGCTTCTTCAGGCGCTGTCTTGTCGCTTCCTCGACGGCGGCGGCGGCTTCTCTCTAGATCCAGCGATGCGGCAATAATAATAACGCAATTTTTTTTTTTAAATAATAAAAAAATCGATTTTTGAAAATTTAATAATCGATTCATAATCGTCCATAACATACTCGCGATTAATCAATAATCGATTTTTTTAACCACCCCTAATAGATAGATAGATAGATAGATAGATAGATAGATAGATAGATAGATAGATAGAACGATAGAACAATAGATAGAACGATAGATAGATAGATAGATAGATAGATAGATAGATAGATAGATAGATAGATAGATAGATAGATAGATAGATAGATAGATAGATAGATAGATAGATAGATAGATAGATAGATAGATAGAACGATGGATGGATGGATGGATGGATGGAGAGACAGACAGACAGACAGACAGACAGACAGATAGATAGATAGATAGATAGATAGATAGATAGATAGATAGATAGATAGATAGATAGATAGATAGATAGATAGATAGATAGATAGATAGATAGATAGATAGATACAGACCTTAAACTTATTAGGGACCTGTAGTTTGGTTGAAGGCACCCCTAGAGCGTAATCCACCAGAACCATTGTAGCAATAGTGATGAACACAGCGAAGTCACTGATGATGGATCTGACCTGAAACATCCATCAGAAGCGTTATTCTCCTCTCTCAGCAACAGCACACGCTCCACAGTGACACTAGAGGGCGCCAGGCTGCTGATAACTCCTCACGCTCAGAGATCTGCCGTACCTTAGTGGGGAAGTAGCGGCTGGTCTTGAACTCTTTGAGGAACGCCGACATGGCCACTGTAGAGAAGAAGAGAACTACAGACCAGAAGAGAACATCAGGAACGTACGGACCATGAGGCCCGCAAGCTGACCCGACAAACTCTCCTTTCTTCTCAATGCAATCCTGACAAAGATAAACAATGGGTCAGGTTTTTATTACGTATAGGAATAGTTCACTCACAACAACACGAGGATGAGTAAATGGTAACAAGTGATTCATTTTTGGATGAGCTGTTCCTTTAAATGCTCCAAAACACAAACACACACACACACACACACAGACATCTGCTCAACATGCTGCTATTGCAACTCTTGCCCGTCATAAGACGAGCAGCAGCAATGATCTTTTTAGCTTTTATGATGATTTAACAGATGCAATCCAGTCTATTACAGCTCAAATTTCCTTAACAGTCTCTTTATCATGTCACTCAAATGAGACTTTTTTATTCCCATAAAAGGAATAGAGCTGAAGATGGACATTTTTACAATTATTCTAACCACCCTTCACTTCGCTACAGAGTTTCTGCAGGTTTTATAAAGGTAATTTAAGACCAACTAAAGACATTTTAAGGGATAAATTGAAAGGAACACAATATTCTTAAATCAAGATAGATTTACTTAAAATGCATAATGACATAAAATATGAAGTGAAAAATGAAATGAGTTTATGATTAAAACAAGAACAAAGATCAGCTCAGAAAAATCAGCTTAATTCGAATGGAAGTTTTCAACTCATTGACAGAGTTTTAGGCATGAACTTACTTAATTTTACAACTGCATCTCAGTAAATGCATTTTGATTTAAGGATGTTTAGATATTATTATTGGAAAGCAGGACAAAAAAAAACAAAAACAAAGGAAAATATCAATTTTTTTGCAACATTTAATGCCAAAACTTTATGAATTTAAGGCTTTCTGCTCTGATTTAAGACCTTTTAAGCCCTTAATTCGTGTGTTAAGACTTAATTAAGACTTTTAAAGACGACAGAGGGCATGTACTGTAGTAGATTGTGTGCACCAGGTTTTTAGCAAATTGATTGTGTTGATCATTTAGATGCCTTAGAAATGTGTGCATCAAATATGATAAAGTAGGCATTATAGGGTTAATATCAGTTGTATTGTCAGTTCTGACCTGAACCTCCAGAGCCTCCCAGAAGATCTCCGGAGCCGAGATGTTGTTCTGCTCCCAGTACAGAAGCGTGGCATTGCTGGGGTTTGCAGGCTCGATACAGGAGCATCTACAGAACAAAGCATCCTTTAACTTGCTTTGCTATAAAAAGAGGTTAAATTGCATTTGTTTCTATAATCTTGGTGTCCATTTGATTCTGCTCCTCATTCGGTTGTGTGTTCACCTGTAAGTGGTGAGTTTCTGCAGATTGTTGTTCATATTAATGGGATACGTCTCCCCGAGATGAATGAGCTTCTCCAAGGCCTCATAGATGAAGATGATGCAGATGAGCGAGGCGAAGGCCTCCTCGGTGAAGCGCGTGATGTAACAGACGAGTGAACTGGCATCAGTGGCCACCAGTAGCAGACAGAGGAACGCCGTCCACAGCCCGATACACGTCCTGAGGGACAGGTACGACAGCCCGTATTCCCTGCAAACAGAACACACACACACCGTGAGCATGTATTCCCTGCAAACACACACACACCGTGAGCATGTATTCCCTGCAAACACACACACACCGTGAGCATGTATTCCCTGCAAACACACACACCGTGAGCCCGTATTCCCTGCAAACACACACACCGTGAGCATGTATTCCCTGCAAACACACACACCGTGAGCCCGTATTCCCTGCAAACACACACACCGTGAGCATGTATTTCCTGCAAACACACACACCGTGAGCCCGTATTCCCTGCAAACACACACACACCGTGAGCATGTATTCCCTGCAAACACACACACACCGTGAGCATGTATTCCCTGCAAACACACACACCGTGAGCCCGTATTCCCTGCAAACACACACACCGTGAGCATGTATTTCCTGCAAACACACACACCGTGAGCCCGTATTCCCTGCAAACACACACACACCGTGAGCATGTATTCCCTGCAAACACACACACCGTGAGCCCGTATTCCCTGCAAACACACACACACCGTGAGCATGTATTCCCTGCAAACACACACTGTAAAACCCGTATTCCCTGCAAACAGAACACACACACCGTGAGCATGTATTCCCTGCAAACACACACACAGTCTGAAGCTCAGCCTTGTGTACAGGGAGGTTTTGGGGATGTAGACCTTGCTAAGAGGTTACTAAGGTATTCTGAGTGGTTGCTAAGCAGTTTCTAGAGTGTTCTGGTTGGTTTTTTATCTATCTATCTATCTATCTATCTATCTATCTATCTATCTATCTATCGGTCTATCATTCATTCTATCTAACGTTCGTTCTATATTTCTATCTAACATTTTATCTATCTCTAGAGATTAATAAAAGAATGATATATAGATGATAGAGAAATAAACAATAGAATGATAGAAAGAATGCGAGATAAATGGTAGAGCAGTAGATACGAATGAGAGATAAAACGAACGATAGATAGATAGATAGATAGATAGATAGATAGATAGATAGATAGATAGATAGATAGATAGATAGATAGATAGATAGATAGATAGATAGATAGATAGATAGATAAGTAGACAGAATGAGGGATAAAACAAATGATAGAACAGTAGATCGAACGAGAGATAAATGATAGAATGACAAATAGAAAGAACGAGAGATAAAACATTACATAGAATGATAGATAGATAGAATGAGACCTAATACAATAGAAATAGATAGAATGAGAGATGAATGATAAGACCGAATGATAGATAAAACGATAGAATGATGAATAGAACAAGATAAAACAATAAAAATAGATAGATAGATAGATAGATAGATAGATAGATAGATAGATAGATAGATAGATAGATAGATAGATGTAAATTAAATAAAAATTATTAAATAATTATTTAAAATTAAATGTAATAAAAAAACAAGATAATAAAGTTTGTTTATCTTTGATGTTGGCTTGAGAAAGATTAGTCTAAAAGTTAAAATAGTTTTACAAGTTGTAAGTTTGATTGAAATAGTTTTAAAAGCTTGAAGTTTAAAGGAGATTAGATGTTAGATAGATAGATAGATAGATAGATAGATAGATAGATAGATAGATAGATAGATAGATAGATAGATAGATAGATAGATAGATAGACAGACAGATAGATAGATAGATAGATAGATAGATAGACAGACAGACAGACAGACAGACAGACAGACAGACAGACAGACAGACAGACAGACAGACAGACAGACAGACAGATAGATAGATAGATAGATAGATAGATAGATAGATAGATAGATAGATAGATAGATAGATAGATAGATAGATAGATAGATAGATAGAATGAGAGATAGATAGACAGACAGACAGACAGACAGACAGACAGACAGATAGATAGATAGATAGATAGATAGATAGATAGATAGATAGATAGATAGATAGATAGATAGATAGATAGATAGATAGATAGACAGACAGACAGACAGACAGACAGACAGACAGACAGACAGACAGACAGACAGACAGACAGACAGACAGACAGACAGACAGACAGACAGATAGATAGATAGATAGATAGATAGATAGATAGATAGATAGATAGATAGATAGATAGATAGACAGAATGAGAGATATAGACAGAATGAGAGATAGATAGATAGATAGATAGATAGATAGACAGAATGAGAGATAGATAGACAGACAGACAGACAGACAGACAGACAGACAGACAGACAGACAGATAGATAGATAGATAGATAGATAGACAGATAGATAGATAGATAGATAGATAGATAGATAGATAGATAGATAGATAGATAGATAGATAGATAGATAGATAGATAGATAGATAGATAGATAGATAGATAGATAGAATGAGAGATAGATAGACAGACAGACAGACAGACAGATAGATAGATAGATAGATAGATAGATAGATAGATAGATAGATAGATAGATAGATAGATAGATAGATAGATAGAATGAAAGATAGATAGATAGACAGACAGATAGATAGATAGATAGATAGAATGAGAGATAGATAGATAGACAGACAGACAGACAGACAGATAGATAGATAGATAGATAGATAGATAGATAGATAGATAGATAGATAGATAGATAGATAGATAGATAGATAGATAGATAGATAGATAGATAGATAGATGATAGACAGAATGAGAGATAAAACGATGGCGTCAGATAATTACATTATTAATTATTACATTAATGAGAGATAGATAGATAGATAGATAGATAGATAGACAGACAGACAGACAGACAGACAGACAGACAGACAGACAGACAGACAGACAGATAGATAGATAGATAGATAGATAGATAGATAGATAGATAGATAGATAGATAGATAGATAGATAGATAGAATGAGAGATAGATAGATAGACAGACAGACAGACAGACAGACAGACAGACAGATAGATAGATAGATAGATAGATAGATAGATAGATAGATAGATAGATAGATAGATAGATAGATAGAATGAGAGATAGATAGATAGACAGACAGACAGACAGACAGACAGATAGATAGATAGATAGATAGATAGATAGATAGATAGATAGATAGATAGATAGATAGATAGATAGATAGATAGATAGATAGATAGATAGAATGAAAGATAGATAGATAGACAGACAGATAGATAGATAGATAGAATGAGAGATAGATAGATAGACAGACAGACAGACAGACAGACAGACAGATAGATAGATAGATAGATAGATAGATAGATAGATAGATAGATAGATAGATAGATAGATAGATAGATAGATAGATAGATAGATAGATAGATAGATAGATGATAGACAGAATGAGAGATAAAACGATGGCGTCAGATAATTACATTATCTAAAACAATTCATATAAATAATGTTCTTTAAATCACTCAGTTTAACCAAGTGTGTGCACTGAGCAATATAAAAGATCAGAGCAATGGCACTTGACATACTTGCAGAATTTGAACAATATTTTCTCAAACACCAGAACGGGTCCAGTGCTGCCCAGTATAGTGAGAGGCTGTCCCGCGAACAGCGAGTACGCGATTCCAGTCATCGAGGCTCCAAACAGCGACTCAATGGCACTCTGAGAACAGGGGAGAATATGCTCAAAAAACACCTTTATATGACAACATTCATATACAGGTGAAACTCGAAAAACTAGAATATGGTGCAAAAGTTCATTTATTTCAGTAATTCAACTTAAAAGGTGAAACTAATATATTATATAGACTCATTACATGCAAAGTGAGATATTTCAAGCCTTTATTTGTTATAATTTTGATGATTATGGCTTACAGTTATGAAAACCTTTTCACAATATTCTAATTTTGAATTTGGGGTTTTCATAAGCTGTGAGCCATAATCATCAAAATTATAACAAATAAAGGCTTGAAATATCTCACTTTGCATGTAATGAGTCTATATAATATATTAGTTTCACCTTTTAAGTTGAATTACTGAAATAAATTAACTTTTGCACGATATTCTAATTTTTTAAGTTTCACCTGCAAATTAAATTATTGCTGACTACGCAATTTAGATGCAGACCCAGACACACGTGTACAAAACAAAGTTACCTGTCACTATGAGTGAAGTCTGTGCTTTACATCAAGGACCGCAATGGAAATACGTTTTTAACTTTATTGCGTTATCCGTTACAAATTAGTGTATTTCACTACTTTCCACTGTAAAAAAAATATTGTTGGATTAACTTAAAAAAGTAAGCCTTAAAATTTTGAGTTCATTGAAATAAAAATTTTGAGTTAACACAACAAAGGAGATTGGTTTAATAAATAGAAACTCAAAATATTATGCTATCTGAATTACATTTTCTATCTAAGTTGATTTGACAAAATATAAAAAGTTGTGATAACAAATCATGAAAATTAGTTTCAAATCAAATGCATGGTGTTGATGTGATCTTACTATGCGTCCCTCAGTGGCTTCTCCCAGCAGTCCTCCGAAGGTGATGACCGGGGACATGCAGGCACAGTACAGGAACAGGAACGAGGCCAAACACTGCAGGCTGAGCGCATCGGTGAAATCTGACAGAAAGTGAGGAGCCTTCCTCTTCACATCCAGAACTAATCCACCAAAAAACCTGACAAAACACACCAGACACACAAGATCACTGCCTTCTGAGGCGCGGAAAGAGCTGGAAAACTGGCTTACACTCAATTCAGCGCACATTCAGAGCTGTGTTATATTCCGTAGAGAATATAAATTCATGACAATTAAACCTTTTCCTTCCAAATTGTCGTTACTATTATGCAAAAAATATATATATTTTAATATTACTTAAATTGTCATTTTTTTTACAGTAATGATGGGAATTAAAATGTAAAATATCAAGATGCATGACAGTAATGGGAATTTGGGAGGGGAAAAGTGCTTAGTTCTCATTAAAATAATTAATTGCATAACAATCTAAAAAAAAAATAGGCTTCATTTTCAAACTATTTATTTTTTATTTTGGAGTGCAGAGAATTTGTTGCAAATCACATTTCTAACATTTTTCTAAGTAAAAAAAAAAAAGTGTATCTATGTATCTTTTCTCCATTTGTCAACACATATGTGGAATATTCCTTGCATTAAGCCACAGTTTTCGTTTTTTACAGTACTGTATTATATTAATGAGACTAACGGGAATTAAAAAAATATTCAGATATACTGTACAATATCGAGATGCATTACAATAATGGGAGTTTGGCGGGTAAATTTGCTTAATTCTCATGAAAATAATGTACATAAAAACAGGCTTAATTTTCAAACTATTATTTCTTTTCTTTTTTCTTTTACTGTGCATAGAATTTCTTGCAAGCCACACATCTTCTACTAACATTCTCCTAAGCAGAAAAGTAATTTTTTCTATATGATGGCTGGAGGATGGATTTTTTTTTTCTCCATGCTCCGACACATATGTGGAATATTCCTCTCAAAAAGTCACAGGTTTTCTGAGCATGGCTGTTTCACAGCAAGTCTGGCGCGTCTTGCATATGAAAAAACAGTTGCACTGTTATAGGGACAAAAATATGTATATGTATTTTTTTAGTAAATGCTAAATACAACTTCATAGTTTGTAAGAAATACAACAGTGAATTTTCACAGTTCTCCGCCATTAACTGGTGTGGCAAAAATTATGTATAAAACTGAGATCAATTTAGTACATGCATATAAAGATAAAATGGTAAAACACTTTTAATTCAATTTTGTATTTAAAAAGGTCTTAATATTTGGCAGTCCGGTTGAAGAAAGAGATGATAAAATCACAGCAGATATTATGTCCAGTGCATTTGTCACTGTTAATGTAATCAAGTCGAATGTATTCAGTATTTTACATAGTGTCTGTCGTTGCACAATTTAGAAAATATAGCAGATCATCCAGGTATTCCATGCATTCAGAAAATCCACATACTATATAAGGCAGACATGCTATAAAACCAGAAAGAAATATTAATTAGGGCTGATCAGATATGACCATTTGGGAGAAAAGAGCCATCTGAGAACAGAAGGGGATTATTGTTGTGAGAAGAGAGAAAGTCACTCAAAGTTGTGAAAACTGTCACTCAACAGGAAGAGTGTGACCAAATGTCAAACATGGCATCTGTCCAGTTCACTGGAGAGTTGAAAACCTGGTCTTCAGTGGCACGGCTCTCGGTTACATCGTAGTAGACAACGAAACCATCATCCTCAATGATCTGCATTATTATGTGCTCTTTAACTGTCATAGTGAACATGACCGGTTCCATTATTTTGGTTTCTGAGAGGATCTTTTAACTTTTTCAAGGTTCACGAGACTTAATTGAATTAAGTTGTGTTAAGTTTAAGTATTAACTTTGAAACAGGAGTATAGATGTGAATAACAGCTCAGATAATTTGGAAGAATTTGAAGAGAAATTAGTGAGTTCAGATTGATATCTCATTCTTTGGTATCTAGGCACAATTGTTAAAGGGATAGGTCACCTAAAAATATATTCTGTCATCATTTACTCGTGTCGTTCCAAACCCGTAAGACTTTCGTTCATCTTCGGAAACACAAATGAAGATCTTTGTAATGAAATCTGAGAGCTTTCTGTCCCTCTATTGACAGCTTCGCAACTAAAATTGAGGTTAAATCACTGGAGTAACATGGATTACTTTAATGATGTCTTTACTACCTTTTTGGGGCTTGAACGAGGTAATTGTGTAGCTGTCAATGGAGGGACAGAAAGCTCTCAAATTTCAATAAAAAGATCTTCATTTGTGTTTTGAAGATGAACGAAAGTCTTACGGGGACCGTGCTGTACAGAAAAAATAAGCAAAAAACATAAAATACATACTTTATGTAAAGCATAATACAGATAAAACAAATCAAGAGACATAAAACATAGGAAAAAATAAACATACCGTAAAAAAAAAAAAAAAAAAAAAAATCTCAACGTCAGGTGTCAAAGGCCAAGGAGAAAATTGGGTTTTAATAAGCGATTTAAAAACAGACAGTGAAGAGGCTTGTCTAATGGGCAGAGGCACACAGTTTGATCAGCTGACCTGAGAGAACGAGTGGGTGTTTAAGGGTGTAGCAGCTCCGAAATGTAGGGTGGGGCAAAAGCTTTTAGGGATTTAAAACCAAGTAGAATCATTTTAAATTGGATCCTTAAATGTACGGGCAGCCAGTGAAGTGAGGCTAACATGGGCGAAATGTGCTTGTGTTTACGTGTTCCAGTTAAAAGACGCGTTTTGTACCATCTGGAGACGGGCTACAGAAGACCCACTAACCCCCACATACAGTGCATTACAGTAATCTAGCCGAGTGCTAACAAAGGCGTGGATTACTCTCTCAAAATGTTGCCTCGGAAGATATGGCTTTATTTTGGCCAGCTGCCTCAATTGAAAAAAGCTTGATTTAACGACTGCCCAGATCTGACTGTCAAGCTTAAGGTCAGAGTCAATTTTAACCCCTAGATTAGTGATGGTTGGCTTGGAGTACTGGGCCAAGGCACCCAAATCAACAGGAGGGGTCGCATTGGTGCCACCAAAAACCATCACTTTGTCTTTTGTGCATTGAAACTTAAAAAGTTAAGAGCCATCCAGGCCTTTATATCTTCAAGACACTCGAGTAGCGGTCTAACAGTGTCATTCTTTTTAAGAGGCACATAAATCTGGCTATCGTCCGTGTAACAGTGGAATGACATGCCGTGCTTCCTGATTATTGAACCAAGCGGGAGCAAATAAAGAGAAAAGAGAAGAGGGCCTAAAACTGAACCCTGAGGGACCCCACAAGAGAGAGGAGAAGAGGAGGACTCGGAGTCACCACAGCTGACACAGAAAGTCCGACCTTTCAAGTAGGACTTCAACCATTCTAGTGCTATGCCCTTGATGCCCCCCCACTGGTCTAAACGAGTGATCAGGATTTCATGGTCCACAGTGTCAAACGCAGCAGTTAAATCAAGAAGCACAAGAATAACACAATCACCAGAGTCAGTTGCTAAAAAGATATCATTAAAAACTTTTCAAAGAGCAGATTCTGTGCTGTGCAGAGTTTTAAAACCGGACTGGAAAACTTCGAGAATATTGTGGTCTTTCAAAAATGCCATTAATTGACTGCAAGACTATCTTTTCAAGAATTTTTGAAAGAAAAGGTAGTTATGCCTACAATTAGAGAGGTCTGCAGGATCCAGACCAGGTTTTTTAATCAGAGGTTGCACTACTTACTGCGTGGTTACAATTTGCAGGGACCACACCTGAGGAGAGACTGCTATTGACAACTGCATGAACAGATGGCCCTACAGTGGGGAAAACCTCTTTAGAAGAAGACAATATGGTCATTATCCAGCTTAGTTCAGTTCAAGTTTTGTTCTCATCCGATAGTGTCAGTGCAAGATTACAATAACATCTCTTCTGAAAGATGGACACAGGAAGAAAGATCTAAAAAAAAGAAAAAAGCAGGACACTTCTGCAAACATCTCCATTCTTTCAGTAGATATTAAAGAGATCTAATTTATGGTTTTTATTTTTGACGGCTTTCACACAAACTGACATGCGATTCTGATGTGTCTACACACATACACACACACACACTCCAGACTGACCTCCCGGTGCGCTGCAGCTCAGGGCCTCCATGTCCACCGTGTTCCTCTGTCTCTGCCAGCTCTCCATTAGGCACTGCAGGGATCTTTCTCTTCTCCTGTTATATCAAACACAGAGACGATAGAGGGATACAGCAGAACTCTTAGCATAAAACTGTGAGAAGAGTTCTGACAGGACTTAGAGATATTGACAGAGTTTCCAGAGATATTCCTCAAATATTCTCAAAAGCATCGTGAGCTAAGTTGATCGTAGAGACCATTTCAATTTCAAAACACTTTATTTGTCCCCAAGGGGCAATTAATGAGGCCACATAGAGTAATGTAAACATTATACATAAAAACAAATAAATAACACAATGTGCACGGAATACATATTAATGAATACCTAATATATATATTAAACAATAATTAAAATCAAGGCATGATAAACAGGGGGGGGGGTAGAGATGGTTGAGAATTTAAAAGCTGCACCGATTTGGGAACAAAGGTTGCCTTCCTCCTTTGTGTTCTACAACATGGACAACGAAGCCGTAGCCGTGAAGGAAGCCACTCAAAAACAGAGAACCTTACATGTGAAGTGTCTCGCAAAATCCTTCCAGCCAACCTCAGCAATTGCTGTTCACTTATAATAGAAAGAGCCCTAATCGGGAGTCCAATAATTTTCGAGCAGACTTTAACCGAGCGCTCCAGACTATTTCTATTTTGGAGGCTTATAATAATTGGTGCCAATGGTTCCACAATCTACTTAGGCTAAAGATGCTTTTGAGAAACGCAGCCCAGGTTAGTGTTTGTTCTAAATCTGTAATCATAAGTGTTAAACTACTGCAATCCAATTTGTAGCAGTAAATGAAGAGGTGTCATATCGATTGCAAGTTCAGTATGGAGTACCGCAAGGCTCAGTACTAGGACCGTTGCTTTTCACCCTGTACATGCTACCCTTGGGAGATATTAGAAAGCATGGCTTTAGTTTTCACTGTTACGCTGATGATACTCAGCTCTATATCTCTTCACGCCCTGACGAAACATACCAATTCACCAAATTATTGGATGTATAGTTTATAGACTTGCAATTAATTAAGCCTGAACGGCTTAAAGGTGCAGTAAGCGATTTCTGAGAAATGCTGTTGAAAATCACCCAAACAAACAATTTTATAAATAATATGAACATCTCGCATATTAATAGCTGCAAAATATATAGCCAGGAAATCGAGCGAGTGAGAGAGAAAGCCTGTTTCCACCTGGTATCCATGACCACTTGCGTTCGGATTTTGTGGAGACTCTCACCTCTTTTTTCGTCACACTCAACTACACCACTTTCGCCGCTCGAATACTATGGAATGAACGAACCAGTGTTAGCTGGCTTATGTGAATTAATATAATAGTATAATATAGTTGAGATGAATATGCTCATTTGTGTCTCAGATTAATGTCAGTGTGCTGTTCTGGGCTTACATCACTTAAATGCACTGAAGAAAAAGGGTCTATTTTCGCTCATTTGTTTTACAGTGCAGTGCTACAGTTAATCCTCTCTTCAATATTTCTAGATCGACATTCTACAGTAAACGCTTTGTTTTAATCTTTATAAGCAGATGGAGACTCACAGTGAGAACATAGCCAGCTGTGTGCTTTATAAATCATGTGCATTACATCACATGACTTACTGTACATACACATATTGCAGAAAACACACTTAATTGTACTTAACAGAAGAGTTTTTCATTCAATATTAACTAAAATAATATCTATGTATAACTACATTACCAGGCAAAGCCAAAGATTTGAAAACACCTAATTATTAAAGGTGATAAACTCTAAAATAACACAATGGAAGTCTGGGAATGATGTAGTGAGACAAACTCTCGTATATTTAAAGAGAACCTTTTATGCTTTTTTCCATGTTCATCTTTCTTTAGTGTGTAATGTTGCTGTTTGAGTATGAAAAGCTCTGAAAGTCCCTCCAGCGGGAGTTATTCTCTATATCAGTGTCACTGTTTCTGAACTTCCTGAAACGCCTCCATTGTAGTCTTGAGTTTTCTTCCGGGAACAAACACGTCACAATATTCCTCATTTAAATCATTCATATGCAGAATAAAGGGGCGGGGCCTGGTTGAGTTAGTTAGTAGTGTGTTGAAACTGGCGGTTATGGTAAGGGGCGGGACATTTCCCCAAACACGCTCAAAGCACTTGACCAATCACAACACACTGATCCAGCCGACCAATCAGAGCACAGTGTGCTTTTCAGAAGGAGGGGCTTCATAGAGACAGGAACTAAACAGAGCGTTACTGACAGACTGGGAAGAGACGAGCTGCAATAATGTCAGATATGGAAAAAATAATGTTTTTTGAACATTTATGCATGAAAACCTGTTCTAGTAAAGCCTAAAAACAAAATCAAGACTTTGAAAAAGGGGATAATATGGGCTCTTGCTCTGCTCACTCTGGACATTCATGAGGTGCATCATGGGGTGCTTTTAAACTAGTAAATAAGGAATAAGGAAGTACCTTCACTATGTACTGCAACTCGTCCCTTTCAATGCAATTAAACGTTTAATTTTCTTCAGAAATGCATACTTATGTACGTCTACAAAACTCATTTGAAGCATTTAAGCATTAGTCTTTAGATCAAAAGCCTTTTAAGATTGTGAGCAACATAAATTTAGTCAAGTGTGTCCAGACTTTTGGCTAGTACAAAACTTCAATCCTACATCAGGGTTGCCGTACTGTAAGTTTTGCAGGTTTATAGTTCCTGTCTGTGATCTTGCTTCACTGACCTGGGACGGGACGTTTTTTGGCGGCTCTATCCTGATGGAAGGGTCCCATTCTCCTGGTGGCAGAACTGTAACTTGGTCAAGAAATTCGTCAATTCCAGCAATCAGATCATTGCGGTCTTTAGCTTTATAGGCCACATCATGGAAAACCTGCAAAAGAAAAAAAAAACAGAACATTCTCAGTCAAAAATTATGAATAAGATGTGATGAAAGAAGAAACAGTTATCTAAATTCAAGGAATAGTTTGTACAAAAATCAAAACGTTTTTCATAATTTAGTGGAACACAAAATAGATTGTATATTAGAGTTCGAAAGAACAACAGAGGTTTTATCAAGCTCAAAAAAGGACAATAAAGTAAAGTTTTTATGATACATTTTTATTAATTTTAGAGCTTGGCAGTGTAAAAAAAAAACCTTCCACGTTCTTTGCATTTTGGATGTTCTTCCTAGTTTCTCCATTTGTTTCATGAAAGTGTAAAGTATTTGGGCCATTGGGGAATATGTATTCAATATTTAGTAATTACAAATTAATAACTATTGATACGGGTTTGACCCAGATAACAATACATGTTAAAAATCACCCGGCAAAGGGGTTACGCAATCTGTTATGAACGACCGAATATAATGGATGTATAATCAATTATTCATACAGATCGGCAAGATAGATCAATTGTATTTATCAATAATTAAATCATAACGAATTATAATTCAATATTCATATACAAATCGTCTGGAATATATAGATTCTTAGGATACTCCTCAATGGAATTAATTATTATCGAATAATCTGTTTGTCCAGCAAACTGGTCATGGATCTTCATCAATTTCCACAGAGAAATTACCTTTAAGAGACTCGCAGGAAGAGACGATCTTTACGGCCGTAAAAGATAGCTCTCCTGTTTCGTCACAATACTATTTAAAGTATTATACCATTTCAAAGCTTATAGCTGATCGAAACATTTAAGTGATTTGAAGTATGAGCACAGGCAGAATCAATCAATGAATATATGTATTTAATAAAGGTGATTACGTATACGGTTAATAAACGTTACAAGGAATAAATGTATTTACAAACACAATAAAACATCGAGGAAGGAGAATGCATATAGAAAGAGAGAGAGAGAGAGCTGGTGAGTTTGGCAAAATTCATCAGACACAGAACCGTTAAGAGAGACAACTAGTCAAATCGTACCCTAATTAGGGCAGGCAATCTTAGCAGTATTTAGATCTCGGTAGGAAAACGAATACTTGCTGATCTCTCGTGTACGTGTGTGTGTGTTCCGAACCCGGTCAGAGGTCCTTTCCGGCGCGCCCGTGTGGCGGGATGTTCAAATCGTCCGTTGAAGGTGTTGCCAAAGAAATGATTCAAACTAAGTTCATTTCACTCGCCGGTGAGAATGAACAAAGGAGAATACAAAAAGGAAAATAAAACTGAACTAGACAAACAAAGGAAAGATGGGTCATCGCATGAACACGAGGTCCCGATGGACCAAGGAGTCACATGATGGAGGAAGAGCAGTCCAGGGTACCAGCCAGAGAGGGAAGACAGAGAGAGAAGCGAGCGAGTCCAGTTCTCTTTTAAAGGAACTGGAGTCCACACCTCTGAGGTGCGAACTAGCCAATGACATTCAACAAAACTCTTGGCGGCAAAATTCTCTTTGTCTTGTCAAAGCTAAATTATGGCCGCATTCACAGGTTTTACGATCAGTCAGAATTTGTTCAGAATCATTCCAAAGATGGTAAAACATAGTAAAATACATTTTATGGCTTGTTCAATTACATAAATGACCTTGTCAGGTCCCAAGCATTCTGAACATAGGAAGAAATACATTTTAGGAGAGTTATATTGCAAAGTTACATTAAAAGCATAATTAACTGCCCTTGCAGTTTGTTTTAAACTAACACACACTCATAGATCCCTTCATAGGACCTGGGCAATCGACAAACATAACAACATATCAAATATACCTCAGTAAATGTCTTTAAATGAGGGGAGTAGTAAAAGTTCATATATGTGTGTGTGTTTGTATCTGCGTGCATTGAGCACCCAATAGGGGGGGGGGGGGGGGGGGGGGGTTCTCTGGAATTCCTTTGAAGCTTGGACTAGTGAGTGGGAGAATGCAGGGTTAGTCTCTGGTGAGTGTCCCAGAGTCGTAAACGTGTTAGAAGCAGACTTGTTGGCACCAAAGTCCAGTAATTTTCATTAATCCTAAAAACTTTGGGTTTTAGGAAGAATGTGCTTTATTTGCATTCAGGACAGAGTCAATGATTTACCCCAGATACCTTACAGTCCCCCTTTTCGTCCGATGACGTCCCTTTGTGGACATCATCGGACGACACATCACAATGGGCGGATGGCAGGTGAATCATGACTCATGCAGCAGGTGGTTATTAGGGCTGAGGATTCAGCTCTATGAGGTTCAAAGCTGCCTCTGGCCTGGTCTCTGACTTGGCACCCCCTTTTTGCGGGTTTTGTCCGAAACCTTTCGTGAGCTTGGCTGAAGATGTTTGCATCTCGTTCAGTCTCCTGTATAGGATGAAGGCCAAGCCCAGTGTCAGGGTGTGTCTGACTACCATAGAGGTACACAGTGCAGTGTCGGCTGCGGTCCAGGCTTGGACAACAGGTGAGGTAGTCAGAATGGGTAGTCGAGACAAAGCTTGGAGGGCTGTATCGATAGGAGCAATGTCAATTAGCTGGGATGGCACCTTTCAGTACTCAACTCCACATGCTCTGGTTGAGCAAGGTGACACGGGTGACAGTGTCGTGCTGGGGTGAGGTGCTCTGTAGACGTTGCGTGGGTCGCGTCGAACACACACTTTCTGGGTGTGGGTCCTGTGCTTGGTGATCAGGATTCCCGGTTGTTCTCTCCGGACGATGCCTGCTGCCGGACCTGGTGAGATGTCCGATTGCGGCTGTCCTCTGGTTGGCTGGAGGCACCGGATGAAGAACCACAACAGCGTCCTGCAAAAGACAAAGGGGAGAGGGAGAGAGAAAGGGAGGACAGATCTCAGTGCTGCGGTTGGCAGCACATGGTGCATCGTGGGCATACACTGGCATGACCCCCCCTTTTGCACTGTGGCATCACAAGCTGTGGCGCAGTGATGTCACCAGGTGCAGAACACGTAAAGTTGTCCCGTGCACGCAGCATGTGCTTGGTGAACTGCAGTGGTCTGGGGCACCGGTTGTCTGTTTGTTCAGATGCCTTGCGTGGGTGGTTGGAGGGGTATGAGGGGTGGTTTCTCATAGTGGGCATTGAATTGTCCTTGGTGAGCTGGAAGGTGCAGGGTAGCGAATTCAAACCTTCATGTGGTGCTGAGGCTGTGTCTTCATGGCTGGCTGCGGGAGTTCCCGTGACCTTGAAGTCTGGCTCTGCGGGAGTTCTCGTGACCTCTGTGACCTGACAGTCTGGCACAGGTGACCTGTCTGACGGGAGGGGGAGAGGTTCCTGAACTTGAGCCCAAACTTTCAGCTGTTTGAAGTCCAGTAAAGGCTCAAAGCGATCTAACAGGTCTTTGCCAATTAGAAGTGGGTGAGTGTTCATTTGTGAGATGTACACTGGGTGGATCAGACCCATAGAGCCAAGTGTAAGGTGAACTGGAGCTACCTGTTCGAGCCGAATGTCGTTCTGGCTGTATGACTGCACAGTCAGCTCACACGTTTGAGATGTGAGAGTTCGATCTTGTTTCTTAGCTTTGAATCTGAGTCTTTCAAAAAGTTCAGCTGATATTAAAGTGAGGTCTGAGCCCGTGTCGACCAGGGCTTCAAGCCTCACCTCATTTTCCAGCGTGACAGCCAGGTAGAGTTTCCGGGCCACCCCCTTTTGGATTAGGTTCCCCAGAAATCTTGGCGTCGGGGCTGGTGTGGTGATCGATGGGTAGTTAGGGCTGGTCTCGGGTGGTTCGCTGCGGAGGCAGTTAACCAAAACAGCATTTCCTGGTCCTTTGTGGTGTTGGACCCAGTCGTGGGAAACTGTGCTGTCATGCTCAGGAAGTGCAGCTGTCAGCTGAGGTGGCTGGATGATGCTGTCACTTTGTGATGTGACAGCTGGCTCTGTGGCCTGTGGCCGACGAGCAGTGTTCAGGGTGCTTGGTCTTACGCTTAGACACAAGACGTCGGGCTCATCCTTCCTGTGTCCCTTGTGAAGTTTCCTGTGAAGAAGCTCTTTCAGCACCTTCAGGATCTCCGCCGTCTCTGACGGGGCCATACGATTTCTATCTGATGTGGGCTCAGACCTGGGCTCATCGGTGGCATGTCGAGAGGGGCTCCATGGCCTGTTTTCTGGGCTTGGGGTTCTTGGTGATGGGGGTCGGCTATTTCTGGGTCGCCGGCTGGTTTCCCAGAATCTTTCAGAGCGCTCGCTCTGGTGTCTAGGACGCGCACCATCACAGTTGTGCTGCCCTCTGTTGGCCTGGAACGGTTCTGACTGTCTGTGAAAAGGGCTGTGGTGTTGTGGGGCGCCCTCTAGAGCCAGCTCTGAGTAGTGCTCAGAGACAGAGTAGATTGTGTGGTCTTTCAAAGTCTTTTCGGACACAATCTTTTGCTTAATGTGAGCTTTGTGGGCCAAGTCTCGTAGCTGTTGGGTAGACATGCTACGGGGACAGGCCAGGATGCCTAAGTGATGACTCAATGTGGGATGCAGATTTCGAAGGAACAAAGTTCTGAAATTGACATCCTCTTCCATATAAGGCTGGTTCCGTGCTCCGAAGTAGGCTTGTCGGAGTCGGCTGTAGTAGGTCTGTGGGGTTTCAAGTCGGGCCTGCTGGAGGTCCATGGCGGTGAACAACCCTTGGTCTGATTCTGGATCAGAGAATTCACGGATCAAAGCTTGTTGCAGCTGCTGGTAGTCCGTTTTGATAGTCTCTGTTTGACGGTCAAGGAAGCTGCGCACATCACAACTGGACGTAATTCTTAGCAGGTACAATCTGTCCCAAGCGGTCGCGTTGGTGACAGTTTGTAAGTGAAAGTCAATGTCTTGCAGGTAGGCATGCACGTCGTGGCCTCCTGCAGGGTTCGGAGTGAACGTAGGGATGTGTCTGGCCAGTTTGTCAAGTTCTTTGGGGGCCGTGCCGTGGTTAGGGGCAGGGGTTCTCTTGAAGGCCCCCCTCCTTGCTGCTGGCGGGGGTTCTTGTGCGCTGGCTAGTGGTGTCTT